CTCTAGGGTTTACAGAGAATGGTCCGAAAAAGAAAAAACATCCAGTGAGCGGCAGTTCTGTGGGCGGAAATGCCTTGTTGATGCCAGAGGTCAGAGGAGAATGGCCAGACTGGTTTGAGCTGATAGAAGGGTAACAGTGACTCAAATAACCACCCGTTACAACCAAGGTGGGCAGAAGAGCATCTCTGAACGCACAGTACGTCGAACTTTGAGGCAGATGGGCTACAGCAGCAGAAGACCACACCGGGTGCCACTTCTTTCAGCTAAGACCAGGAAACTGAGGCACAAGCTCATCGAAATTGGACAATAGAAGATTGGAAAAACGTTGCCTGGTCTGATGAGTCTCGATTTCTGCTGCAACATTCGGATGGTAGGGTCAGAATTTGGCGTCTACAACATGAAAGCATGGATCCATCCTGCCTTGTATCAACGGTTCAGGCTGGTGGTGGTGGTGTCATGGTGTGGGGAATATTTTCTTGGCACTCTTTGGGCTCCTTGCTACCAATTGAGCATTGTTGCAACGCCACAGCCTACCTAAGTATTGTTGCTGACCATGTCCATCCCTTTATGACCACAATGTACCCAACTCCTGATGGCTACTTTCAGCAGGATAATGCGCCATGTCATAAAGCTGAAATCATCTCAGACTGGTTTCTTGAACATGACAATGAGTTCACTGTACTCAAATGGCCTCCACAGTCACCAGATCTCAATCCAATAGAGCATCTTTGGGATGTGATGGAACAGGAGATTCGCATCATGGATTTGCAGCCGACAAATCCGCGGCAACTGTGTGATGCCATCATGTCAATATGGACCAAACTCCCTGTGGAATGCCTCCAGCACCTTGTTGAATGTGCCACGAAGAATTGAGGCAGTTCTGAAGGCAAAAGGGGTCCAACCCGTTACTAGCATGGGGTACCTAATAAAGTGGCCGGTGAGTGTAGTTTGAGCATTAGTTTATTCTTGTGTCCTGGTCTTTGCATTTTATTGATTTATTTATTCCAGATCGCTGTTGGTTTTTTTCCTTGATTTAGTATTTTCTTTGTGATGTAGTTTAGATTCATTAATGTCTCCCTCCCCAAGTCTCCCTGCTTTCAACCTGCCTCAGCTAATGCTTATTTCCCCCTGTCAGAGCCACCTGCATCTTTTAGTAATCCTCCCCTTTTCCCTCAGTAAATAAGATCCCTGGTTCTCATTGTTCATAGCTGGATTCCCCTGTTAGACCGTATGCTACTCTGACTGTAACTCAGCTTGTATTTAATGACCTGCTCTCCCTGCTGGTTCCTTTCTAGGTTCTCCTTTATTCATCTACGAATTACATTTACCACAATATGTTTCTAACCTTGGATTCTGCACCACCTACACATTATAACAATGCATACAATGTCTACCGTCTTGGATTTAAATTTTGCAGCTAAATATGTATGCTTTGCCTTTGAACTTGCCTGTGAAGTTCATGACATGGTGAAAGGGATGTGTCTTTATTGTATTTATGTTGAGCAAACATTCCCCTGCCATACTATAATTCTCCTGCCAGAAATATCAGCAAATCAAAGGAAAGTTATAAGTAAAAATTGACATACTTTGTGTTTATATTACAGTTTATTAGTATATTACCGTACATAAATCTAGGGGAAGGTGCTGCATTTCAGGGTTTATTCTTCTTGTGATCTACAGGCATTGTACCCTTATAATGGTTTATCTTCTTCAGGAAAGAAATGTTTTGTTTCTGCAGCAAATCACATTAAAAAAAAAAAAAATTATACCAACTTCCCTTGCTAACAGGCTCTTAAACAATTCTAATTCTTAGCAAATATTCTGACACCCTAGAGTTACTCACGCCCACAGCTTTAGTACTTTATTTTTAGGAAAAGTGCGTGAAACAAAAAGACTAACAGATAATGTTTAATATTTATAAAATCCATTACTTTTAGCATAACATTGTAGAACTGCATTTCATCTTAACTATTATTTATTCATTTGGTTTAAATATATTTACTGATCGTTGAGTCACATCAACTGCAGCTGGATGTGAGCTTTTATGCTCATTTTTACAGCCTGAAAGCTGTCAGCATTCTCCCCTGCCGTTCTCCCTACTGTTCTCGCATTATCTTCAACAGAGTGAACCTTATCTACATCCACACAACAACCCAGTTCGCCATTACTATCCATCCTGTTTCTCAGGCAAAGCCGTGCATCATTAGTGCATCTGAAGCTCCTCAGCTGTCACGTGTACAGCTCCTAATTTTCTTCACTTGTCAGTAGACCCCAGCAATCTCCTCCTGTACACATCATTCTGCTTATATGAGAAGTCCTAAATGCAAAAGCGAAGAGGAGGAAGGATTCTTAATTGGAGTGTCTTTTTAGTCTAATTGCATCTGGGACCTCATCAAGCTCCATCCTCCTCACAACCCCGACTGACATTCGTATGTGTGTCTTTGTGATCCCCGTCAAATTGAAGGCAGTTTATGGTTTGGATCATATGAATTTCACAGCTGATTTAACTGCTGCCTGTTTCCCCCTCGCTGAGGAACAGAACTAAATAATCAACATGCTGGATCTCAGGCCCTCCAGCGTTTTTTTTGCTAATTCATTCTGAGAAATATTGTGTAGTGGCGGGTTGGACTGCAGCTGTAACATCATCTTTGACTAACAAGGTTGCCTTTTCTTTAGGAGGGGGAGAAAACCGGTCCAGGTAAGCTGAGGCGATCTCAGGCTGTATAATGTGTAAAAATGGATAAACCCAGGTTAGATATCTCTAAAGGGTTCCTTATGTCTGGATGTCAGGGACAGAAATCCCATGCTTCCAGCTAACAGCTGTAAAGCTGTTAGCTGTCTCTAACTCTGTACTCTGTACTCTGTCTCCCATGTCCTTCAGCCTTACAGCTGTGGTTGTCATGACAACAGGGGCTAATCTCCAGTGGACGGCGAAAAAGTGCAAGAGCTTGCATGAAAACGTGCTTCTGATTTCAAATAAACGGGAGTTTATTTCACAGCATCTGTAGGATTTTTTTTTCTTCATTTATTATGTTCCTAGAATCCCTCCTGATTTTAGGACTAATACCTGTATATTTTGCCCTACATCATCTATGAAGAAAGAAAGCATTTATACTCATTAGTCTTTTTTTCTCTCCTATTTTCCATTCTTTTACAGTGAAAAATGTTCTTTTATGTAATTCTATCTTTGCAAAGAACCCAACATCCCGTTTTTAACCTTCTAAAAAATTATCTAACCTAAACTACATGTGTTCTTCTTTTTCATTTCCTCTCATTGCTCATTTCCTCATTGCTCAGCAGGGACCACCAAAGCATGTCACGGATGATTAGGGTTACATGACTAGAAGGCAGCATGTGGGTGAATATAAGGTACATAGATTTATACCGGGAACATCAAACAAAACTGGACTGGTTGTTTGATTTTCTGCGTGGCTTGTAGTTGATAACATTTTTACAGAAGACGATTAGGGCCACTGGAAAAAAAAAAAAAAAAAAACAGTTAACTGATTTTTAAATTTTATTTCAGTATAATATGAGAAAAAAAAGTCTGAATTCTTACTTTAATCTCAGAATTTGTCAAAGTCTTGGTTCTGTTATGTTGTACTTTGCTCCATGTTTTATTGGTTCCTATTCCTATTCCTATTTTGTTGTATTTTCTGGATATATTTCAGTTCTTAGGTTTTTATTTGTTGCCCTCCTGTTGGTCCCCTTATCCCTAGCTCCTTTCTAGACTCTTCACACCTGCTCCCAATCTGCCCGTTAGTTAGACCATGAATACTCTCCTTGTGCAGTTCCTCAGTGCTGGTTCCTCGTCTTACCTCGTCTCTCCTCGCCTTTCCCTGACTGCATGTGCTCTTTTCCCCCGACGTCTCCATGGTTCTGGTTTGTGTTCCATTTTAAGTTGGATTTTTGGATTCCTGCCTCTGTTACCTGTGTTGATTCATTAAAAACTGCAAGAACTGACTTTTGATTTCAGAACTCTGACTTTAATCTCAGAATTCTGAATTTAATCTCAGAATTCTGAATTTAATCTCAGAATTCTGACTTTAATCTCAGAATTCTGACTTTTTATTTCAGAACTCTGACTTTAATCTCAGAATTCTGACTTTAATCTCAGAATTCTGACTTTAATCTCAGAATTCTGAATTTAATCTCAGAATTCTGAATTTAATCTCAGCATTCTGACTTTAATCTCAGCATTCTGACTTTAATCTCAGCATTCTGACTTTAATCTCAGCATTCTGACTTTAATCTCAGAATTCTGACTTTTTTTCTTCTCAGAATTTTGACTTTTTTCCACTCAGAATTCTGACTTTAATCTCAGAATTTTGGATCTTAATGTAGATGGGCACCATGAAGGAAGAGAGGGAGCACTCAGCTTCTCTGACAAAGATGTGAGTTGTTTGGGAGGGCCAGTAACACAGTGTTGGAAAATGACGAAATTAGGCAACGTTTTACATGCCCAAGGGGTCCCGGTGATGCTATTTGATTAATGGAAGAGCAGAAGGTGTTTAAAACAAGAGAGATGGTCTCTAAAACAGACATATGGCTACAGCTTGATGCTAAGATGTTGATGTTAAACTGTCAGAATTCGGTCAGAATTTTCCCATATTAAACTGAAATAATGTTTAAAAATCGCTTTATCACATTTTGCACCCATAAAGCAAAAAGTCAGCAGGATGTACAGATGTGAACAGGGGGTTAAAGTTGTTCCCTCCAGCAGGGGGCGCAGTGGGAGTGCAGGAAAGTGAGCAGAGGGGAAACAGGAGCTGCAGAGGGGTTGGAGCTGCAGAAAGCAGAGGGGCGGACAGAGGTGGCAGCCGATACCTGGAACGATCAGGCTGCAGACGGGCGGCATGAGAGCCAGACCTCGGTGGTTTTAATTAGACAGGGAGGCTTATAGAAGGAACCAAAAATTACCACCTCCCCCCCCCCACACATACACTTTGCTTTTACACTCAGACGAGCGCGCGTCTTTAAACCAGCAGGAGATGCATTACGTCATAACCTCCCATCGCCCTGGATGACCGCGCTCGCAGGAGTAGATGATGCGGGGCTGCTGGAATAGAAGAAAACCAGATTGCGCCGCTGCCGCACGCGAACGTCCGGGGGCGGTGTCCCGCGCGGGGCACAGAGAAGAAGGGGAGCCGCCCTCGCGCGGCCGTCGGCTCTGATGGCTCCTCGCGCCCCGAACGGGAAAGAGACACAGCAGTCGCCGCGGCGCGAGAGGGAAGAGGACAGGAGGTACCTGGGAAGTGACGTGGTGTCCGCGCCCAGCCAGCAGTCACCACGGTGCGGTTGTCGTGCGTTTCACAGGAGGGCAGGAGCGGCAAGGGGAACATGGCCGCGCAGTCAGACGGCGGTAAAGCCGGGGTCGGCTGCGGCGGCGGGTTCGCCCAGCTGTACGATATCGACGCTGAGGAGCCGCTGGACTCCGCCGCCATCCACATCTGCCAGTGCTGCCGCTCCTCCGCCTGCTACTGGGGCTGCCGCTCCGCCTGCCTGGGCTCTCTGCTCGGCGGGGGCCAACCCATCGGAGGGGTCGGTATCCGGGAGACCCACTGCCCCCCACGGGAGCAGCTGTGGTTGGACTGCCTCTGGATCATCCTCGCCCTGCTCGTCTTCTTCTGGGACGTTGGAACGGACCTTTTCCTGGCGGCGGACTACTACCAGAGGCAGAAGTACCTCTGGTTCGGCCTCACGCTGTTTTTTGTGCTGGTACCGTCCGTGCTGGTCCAGATTCTGAGCTTCCGCTGGTTCGTGCAGGACTACACCGGCGGGGGGCTCGGGGAGGTGGAGGGGCTCACAAAAAGAGGGACGGTGGTCCAGGGATGCCTGTATCCCGGGAAGGACCGCCTGCAGCTGGCCACCATCTGGCTGTGGCAGGTCATCATCCACATCCTCCAGCTGGGACAGGTGTGGAGGTGAGAACACACCTGCTCCTCTCCTCCAGAAAAAAAAGAATGGCAAAAAATCATTTAGCCACTCAGACAAACGTTACAGTCTTTTAAAAAGTTTACTTTATGTTGAAACAAACAGCAAAATGAAAGAAGAAATGGTTTAAAAATGAAAAGAATTACTGGCTAAAAGTGACGCTCTCCATGGTGCTGAATCCATTCAATTTGATGCTTTCAAACAACATTCTGAATTTTAAACATTCTTACAACCAAAAAACTCAAGTATTCATCATTCTTTTTATATGATTTAGCCCAAAAAAGGTTGAAAAAGCTGAAAGGTGTGAGGGGCATTTGCATCCAGACCTAAAAAAAATTAAAATAAAATCCCCAGCAACCTTGCAAAGTCACATTATTTCTTAGAAATAAGAATAAACTAAATTTTTTTTTAAACGGCGATGGCTGCATCCTATTGAAGGAACATTACTTCAGCAGAGCCAGCAATGGCCATAGTTTATGGTGGGATGAGTGAAGCTAAATACATAGCTATCCTGGGGGGAAAAAAGTCTAAATGCAGAGAAAGACTTGTGTCAAAGGTGGAGGTTCACCTTCTAGCAGAATAATGATCCTAGAATTGTATCTTTCAAAGCATTAAAATGTCTCCTTCAAAGTCCTGAGCTTTAACTAGTATTAAAAATACCCCAGAAGACTCATCAGTATCTGAAATTTTCCAGCCTTAACAACATATCGGCTTGTATCTGTAGCATGATGAATAATGTGGAGCTAATTAAACAGGCATCTGTCTTCTCACAGTCCGGCAAAGAGGTCAGGACTCTATTTCTGTGCGTTTTTGTGTATGTTGGCGTGTGTGACGAGTGGAAAAACGGTGTCACGGCTCTTCCCCACGAGTGTCAGCGTGCATGGGGAGTACAAAGAGGAAAAGCATCTGTGCTTCTGGCAACTCCTCTCTCTCACGCTCACTATTTATCTCTCCCCCTCCCCATCTGACACACACACACTCAGTGGGAAATATTTAGGTGTTAATTGAGGTGCTAAAAGCACTGCTAGAGGAGCAACATAGAAGACACGCGTTAAACTAGTGGTGGTAGTGGCATTGTGTAAGTGCAGCACACACACCCCCTCTGTTTTCTCCTACAGGACCCTCTAATGGTGTCCGGAGGCTTAAAGGTAGAGTTATGTATGTTTGTGCAACAGCTACTCAGCTTTGAGTTGTAGGGTTAAAACATCCCCCTCCAGCCTCTCCGTCCTGCAAATGGCAGAATGGACCCGCCCACCTGGATGTAGGGAGGAAGGAAATGGTATAGCCTGATTGAGATGGATTGCTTTAGAGATGAAGAGGCTGTGTGTAGAAGGGGGGGAAGAGAAACGGAGGGGAGTGAAGACGGGGGAGGGTGGAGGGATAGAGATCAGGAGGAGGAAGAGAAAAGAACAGGAGTGGTGAAGGGGGTGGGGGATCTACTTGGATAATTTAGAGGCACATCCTCTCATGTCAGGGCTTATCGAATTTGCCTGCCTGTCAGTATTCACCTGAGCATTACAGAGAAGACTGATTTGTTTTTTTCCAGAAATCTACACCCAGTCGTTATTGGTGTTAAATTCCATTTTAATTTTGTGGTTTTAATGATGGCAAAAAGGGTAACGCATCAAACCATTTCAGAGATTTGTTAAAAAAAGAACAAGAATTCAGTGAAATTTAAATAGATTTTGTGGACACAGTTGCATTCACAAAAGTTCTAACCGACATACATTTCAAAATAACTCAAAGTATTGGTTGTAGCTTTTTACATACAGGGTTTAAACTTTACAACATACATTATATAAAATCAAAACAGTAAATAAAAGAGGAACTCATTGTGCTCAAAAGTATATTTTCTAAAGACAACAATGAGACAGGTATTTTTATAAAGTTCTACTTAAATCTGCTCTAAATCAGTTTGGACATAAGTGAGACTTTGCAAACTCCCTTTATTAAGATGCTCCTATCGGGTTGGACCCCTTTTTCAACTGTATAACAGCTTAAATTCTTCATTATAGATTAAATAAGGTGTGTGAAATAATTCCTGATGATAGTACACATCCCTCCCTTCATCTTACAGCCAATCACAAACAAACAACCCTCTTAAAGTCATTTAAAACCCCTTTCTAATGCTAGGATTGAACTTTACATTTTTTATTCATCAAATGATGAGTTTCCTGCTGTCTATGTTGAAAATTCATGCACTTGTCGCTCTATCTTCCATTCATACCTACTTTTCTTATGTCCTGTAACGCTCATACTGTATATTAGACATTCTTCCAATAGCATGCATAATGCAGGACCATGTTCATGGTCTAGGACTCATTTGGGAGGCACTCATAGTATGTTTCTTGCCCACATCCTTCTCACATTTAGAAATCCACTCAGCATGTATGGATCAGAGCATTCAGATTTGCAGGGATCAGTCACTCCACTATTCGTAGTAGCTCACTCAATCTTGACTCATCTGCTGATTGTATTCCTCATTAGTCAGTTGTTTTGTCTAGAAAGACATCAGATCTTACTCTAAATATGCGCAGATGGTGTATATTTAGACCAGTTTCTAATGTAGCCTCCGTATTATACCCCCCATAGGTACATCCGAACGCTGTATCTGGGGGTCATGTCGCGGCGGCAGAAGGAGCACCAGCGGCGGTGGTACTGGGCCATGATGTTCGAGTACGCCGATGTCAACATGCTGCGCCTGCTGGAGACGTTCCTGGCGTCGGCGCCCCAGCTGGTGCTGCAGCTCTGCATCATGTTCCAAGAGAACCGAGCCGGGACCCTGCAGTGTAGGTGTCATTAATGCCGCGTTTTCCATGCAGCCAACAAAGCACTTGTTAGTCAACAGCTGCATGAACAGTAATTAGCTATTTGCTCACATTGGGCTCAGTAATGTGTGGCTGCAGATGGTGCTCAGTGTTTGTCCAGGTATTCTGGTCTAGAGAGAACCTCCATACGTGTCATCTCCCTCCTCCACCTTAATCATTCAGGATGTGCATCATCTAGTAGGCCTCTCACTGGTGTTAATCATCCCTGTAACTCTTGACTTTTTGGACACTCGCTACTTTAATGTAAATACATAACCAGAACTTAAGGGGGTGGATGGACAATCAAAATAACTTCACCTTACAGCATCACTGCCAAATGTTTCTCTGGTGCCCTAAATAATGATATGACCAACAGCATTACACATAACACCCCCAAAGAGTCCTGAATATGTCCCAGGATGTGCTTCTTTCTGTCTCTTTAGGCTTCTCCTCCCTGGCCTCCCTCCTCTCTCTGGCCTGGGTTCTGGCCTCCTACCACAAGCTGCTGCGCGACTCCAGGGACGACCAGCGGAGCATGAGCTACCGCGGCGCACTGCTCCACCTCTGTTGGCGCCTCTTCACCATCTCGTCCCGCGTCCTCTCGCTTGCCCTCTTCGCCTCCCTTTTCCACATCTACTTCGGCATCTTCGTGGTTCTGCACTGGTGCGCCATGGCCTTTTGGGTGGTCCACGGGGGCACCGACTTCTGCATGTCCAAGTGGGAGGAGGTGCTCTTCAACATGGTGGTTGGCATCGTCTACATCTTCTGTTGGTTTAACGTGAAGGAGGGACGGACGCGTTACAGGATGATAGCGTACTACACCGTGGTGTTGGCAGAGAATACAATCCTTACTGGCCTGTGGTGAGTCATAGTGGATTCAATCAGAATTAAATGTACTGAAATATAAACTGGATAATTACCTCCTTGCTAAATATTTCATGTCCTGTTTGACTTTTTTACATCGCTTCGGATTCCACTGAAATCTGCAGTTATTAAAAATGCCAACGCAACATTGCATTTCCTTTTGGGTGCACCCATCCTTTATTTATATTTATAATAGGGATGCACGATATTGGGATTTTGGCCGATATCCGATATGCCGATATTTTAAAACTCATGTAGCCGATAACCGATATCAATACTGATGGTAAAGCTGGACAAAAATAAGTAGTCATTGAAAATAGCAGTTTTGTTTTCCATTTCTGACATTTTGAAAAATAATATACTCAAATATATTTTCATATGCTGATATCAAATTGATTTTTAAAAACGCGGTATCGATCTATTTTACTTTCAAAATCTCGTGAAATTTCATCGTTTCTTTTACAAACTCTCGCGATATTTTGCAAATTCTTGTGGGATTTTGTTAGTAAAATAGATCGATACCGCGTCAATATATCAACATATAAAAATATGGCAAAATTTCGTAAATTTTCGGGGGATTTCGTAGCATAACGATGACATATAGCAATATTTCATTAGTAAAAGAGATTGATATGGTGTTTTTAAATGGCAATATATCAGCATATGAAGATATTGTGATATTTTAATGTATCAATATTTTTCCCTCGTTTTTAGAAGTTTTTAAGTCTGTAAAAAATAAGTTTTTGAGGAAGAAGAAGAAGTAGTATTTTTTTTTTTTTTTTTTTAGACTTTAGAAACTCAGAAGCTGATCAAATATCGGGTTAAATATGGTGGCTGATGTCGGATATTCAGTTTTAAGGCCGATACATGCCGATACCGATAGGGGGCTGATTATATCGTGCATCCCTCATTTATAAACTACTAGTTCTAAGCTATGAGAATGCTCTCATTTTTTTTATATGTTGTAATTAGACTTTCACAGAATATGTATTTATCAGGACTGAAACAATTAATTGGATTCATCCTGATTATTCAATTAATCGTTAACTGAGGCATAGAAATTCTAAAATAGCCCTTTAGCTGACAGAGCAACTCACTTTGAGCAGTAATTATATCAAAAATTGTAAAAAAATAAAATAAAATAAAAATATATATATATATATATATATATATATATATATATCAGCTTGTAGCTTCTGTCCGTCAATCTTTTCTATCCAGAACTCCTCAAGCGGAAACGTTTTAGTTTCACCTGGTTTAATTTGGCAAAAAGTCTTCTTTAAGGAATCTTTGGTTATCCGATTATTAATCAAAAAATAATCGACAGATTAATGGATTTGCAAAATAATTTTTATTTGCAGCCCTTGTTTTTAATAAAGCAATACTATATTTTTTCTAATGAAAAGCCATATTTGTTACACACTGTCCCTTTATCTCATCTTTAAAAGCCAGTATATACACTACCATTCAAAAGTTTGGGGTCACCCAAACAATTTTGTGTTTTCCTGAAAAGTCACACTTATTCACCACCATACGTTGTGAAATGAATAGAAAATAGAGTCAAGATATTGACAAGGTTAGAAATAAGGATTTGTATTTGAAATAAGATTTTTTTTACATCAAACTTTGCTTTCGTCAAAGAATCCTCCATTTGCAGCAATTACAGCATTGCAGACCTTTGGCATTCTAGCTGTTAATTTGTTGAGGTAATCTGGAGAAATTGCACCCCATGCTCCCAGAAGCAGCTCCCACAAGTTGGATTGGTTGGATGGGCACTTCTTGCATACCATACGGTCAAGCTGCTCCCACAACAGCTCAATGGGGTTCAGATCTGGTAACTGCGCTGGCCACTCCTTTACCGATAGAATACCAGCTGCCTGCTTCTGCTCTAAATAGTTCTTGCACAATTTGGAGGTGTGTTTAGGGTCATTGTCCTGTTGTCGGATGAAATTGGCTCCAATTAAGCGCTGTCCACTGGGTATGGCATGGCATTGCAAAATGGAGTGATAGCCTTCCTTATTCAGACTCCCTTTCACCCTGTACAAATCTCCCAACTTACCAGCATCAAACCAACCCCAGACCATCACATTACCTCCACCATGCTTAACAGATGGCGTCAGACATTCTTCCAGCATCTTTTCATTTGTTCTGTGTATCACAAACATTCTTCTTTGTGATCCAAACACCTCAAACTTGGATTCATCCGTCCACAACACTTTTTTCCAGTCTTCCTCTGTCCAATGTCTGTGTTCTTTTGCCTATCTTAATCTTTTTCTTTTATTGGCCAGTCTCAGATATGGCTTTTTCTTTGCCACTCTGCCCTGAAGCCCAGAATCCCGCAGTCGCCTCTTCACTGTAGAATTTGACATTGGTGTTTTGCGGGTATTATTTAATGAAGATGCCAGTTGGGGACCTGTGAGGTGTTTGTTTTTCAAACTAGAGACTCTAATGTACTTATCTTCTTGCTCAGTTGTGCAACGTGGCCTCCCACTTCTTTTTCTACTCTGGTTAGAGCCTGTTTGTGCTGTCCTCTGAAGGGAGTAGTACACACCATTATAGGAAATCTTCATTCTTGGCAATTTCTCACATGGAATAACCTTAATTTCTAAGAAGAAGAATAGACTGTCGAGTTTCAGATGAAAGTTATCTTTTTCTGGCCATTTTGAGCGTTTAATTGACCACACAAATGTGATGCTCCAGAAACTCACTCTGCTTAAAGGAAGGTCAGTTTTGTAGCCTCTGTAACGAGCTAAACTCTTTTCAGATGTGTGAACATGATTGCAGAGGGGTTTTCTATTCATCAATTAGCCTTCTGAGCCAATGAGCAAACACATTGTACCATTAGAACACTGGAGTGATAGTTGCTGGAAATGGGCCTCTATACACCTATGTAGATATTGCACCAGAAACCAGATATTTGCAGCTAGAATAGTCATTTACCACCTTAGCAATGTATAGAGTGTATTTCTTTAAAGTTAAGACTAGTTTAAGGTTATTTTCATTGAAAAGTACAGTGCTTTTCCTTCAAAAATAAGGACATTTCAATGTGACCCCAAACTTTTGAACGGTAGTGTATATGATTGTACACATATATGTCCAATAAGGTAGCTTTAGATTACTGTTAGGTCAAAAAAGGAAGTCCGTCAAACTAACTGTTTTCGTTAAATTAAAGACAAATATCTATCAAGGGATAAACTATCCTGCTGAGAAAGAGGTTTTAGATTTTCCTTTATTATTAAAGTATTTAATATTAAATCAGTGTATCTTTACCTTTTTGAGATTGTTGAAAAATAACTAGAGCTGTCATTGCTTCTCTGCTTTGGTTAAATACCCAACAACAAGCTTATCATGATAATTACCCCCCTAGAAGAAATATATATGATCTATATAATATATATATTAAGGTTTGTTTAGGGTCTTTAGCTGAATTTTCTCCAGAGGTTATTTTACTCCCCGAGTACAGTATTGCAAACTAACGTCATTTAAATTGGTGCAGGAATCCCCAAAGTCAGTCCTCGAAGGGCCGTAGTCTTGCAGGTTTTGGATGTTTCCCTACTCCAGTACAGCTGATTTTTGATTAACAGGCATTTCTTGAATTACAATCATTAGAATCAGCTGTGCTAAATCAGGGAAACGCCTAAAACCTGCAGGACAGCGGCCCTCGAGGACAAAATTTGGGCATGCCTGCCTTTGTGCTACATTAAAAATAAATAAGTGTTCCCAGTGATTTAGAAAACGCACAGTCAATATGACTGACATTTTTGAAAATAAATGCACCCAAACATCTGGAAGATCTTTGAAATGCATGACAGTGAAATAGAAAACATGCTGACTAAATGCGGGAAGCCAACTTTTAGATCAATCTCTATGTCCAACAAGGTGTTCTGATCCAAACACTTTACCTCTTGACCTCATTACGCTGATTCCGAAATGAAAAACATAGTGGCGGTGCAGACAGAGCTACAGTTTAGATCAAAGCTAGGTGGTGGGCTGAAAGGTGGGCCTGGAGGACCTGACATTTTCATTCTCATATTCTCTCAGTCTAATCTGACTGAACTTGACTTCAGTCAGATGGGTAAAACTTTCCATCTACATCTGCCCGAGCTAATGTGGTTATATCTCCTCTCGGTTGCAGGTATGCCTACAGGGACCCGCTGCTGACCGACTCATACGCCGTCCCCGCCCTCTTCAGCGTCTACCTGACATTCGCCGGCGGCGTCCTCGTCATGTTCCTCTACTATGGCTTCCTGCATCCAGCCACCGCCCACCTCCAGCCGAGCCCGGCCTCTTCCTGCTGCGCCCAGCTGCTCTGGGGTCTCCCGCTTCCCCCGTCAGCCCCGCCCACTGCCCCGCCTACCCCGGCCCACATGACCAAGTCCCAGACAGAAGAAGACGTGGCCGAGACGTGCCTTCCTGTCTTCCAGGTGAGGTCCGCCCCTCCGACCTCCAAACCCGAAGGCCCGCTGATAAAAATCGACATGCCCAGGAAGCGTTACCCGGCTTGGGACGCGCACTACGTAGACCGGCGCCTGCGGAGGACTATAAACATCCTGCAGTACATAACGCCGGCTGCTGTGGGCATCCGCTATCGAGACGGACCCTTACTGTATGAACTGTTGCAGTACGAGTCGTCACTCTGACACACAAACACACACAGAGTCACACCTGAGCACATACAGCACTATAAAATATAGACGTGGATGTTCAAACTTTCCAACTTAGGGGAGACAAAGGAAAAAAAAAAGTCACTTGATATAAGCACATGCCCACTAAAGCAATCTCATTTCTAAGCACACACACACCTCTCGTACGTCTTGTGGGTATGACTCAGCAAGCTGCTTCAGTCCGTTTTCCTCTTTCTCTCTAGTCGCTCCTCACTGGGTCTCATTGTTATGAATTTCCCTCGCACGCTCTGCCAAGGAGGAAAAAAAAAAATTTTGAGAAAGAGAAATGTGTACACCTCTGCAGAAGCACCCGACCGCGTCATCTATGATGCGATCGTTACACGTAAAACAATGAGACGCAAAGGTAAGTAAATAGTCTCTTAAAAAACAAAGGGGATTGTGAACATGTGGTTAGTCTAGTCAAAGGTTTGTGTAAATATTTTCTTATGTACAGAGCAGATATTTTTAATGTAATGTCAATTTCTGGCTGAACAAAAAGATCAAAGACAGCTGTGGAAGTTTGTTCTGAACACTGAAAAAAATTATTCAACTGCTTTTGGCATTTACTTAATCATATTTAGTTACTTTAACATGATTAAATAAATGCCAAAAGGAGTTGCCTTATTTTTTTTTTTTCAGTGTACCAGAGAGTAAAACAGCCCTGAACGGGGAACGACAAAAACAGAAGACAGTATTTATATCACTGACTTACAGGAAAAAGCCTCATCCTAAGTTTTAGTCATTTATCTTGAGAGCATCTATCCAATTTTCTGGATATTCAGGAATCTGAACAGTGAAGTAGCTGTATGTCCTGTCTGCAAGTGGAAACGGTAATGGAGCTGATCCATTATCTACTTTTCATACTGAGACCAAATAGTACACTAACTACCAGAAGTCAAATATCTTGGAATAAACCGTTATTGATACATTCAATACCAATATAGAAATTTTATTAGATTAATTCAAAGTTAGCAAAATAACAATTTTTATTAAATCTTTGATTAAAGAAATTGAATTATGTCCATACTTAAAAGAACAGCTGAAAAAAACGCTCCTTTTAGGACAAAACAATGTAATAAAAACAAAAGTAAACAATGCAATCCACTTTATTAAGTTTAACTTATTGTCATTAGCTTCTTTTAATAGTGCTGCATTCATTATTTCACTAAAAATGATCTTAGTAAATTTATTTTATCTCTGGGAAAACATGTTTTTAGACACACATTTAAAGTGATCCAAATTTAAATATTTTCTTGTAAATAGTTATGAAGAAAAACTGCACAACTATTCAAAGCTATAACACTTAAAACTTAGCTTTATTTTGCCAGTGAAGTAAAACTTTATAATAAGGTGATGAAAAGTTTGTGAACTACTAGAGAACTAGGAACTAATGGGTAGTTAATGGGTACTTACTGGGGCACACCTAGCTCAGCCTTCTAATGGGACTTCTGCTTAATTAACGGGGAAACACAGAGTAACTAACCAGGAACTAATATATCGTTACCAAGGAAACCAAACAGGAACTAATAAGGAACTAAAGGGTAGTTAACCAGTACTTATAAGGGAAATACTGGTTTGTGACTGCAAAAATAGTGCAGAAATTTTTATTGTTGGTTCTGAATAAACATTAAACCTGTGAAGTCAGCCTACGAAAAGTACTTTACTGCGGCTATTATTTAATGGACTTTGTTGGGTCAAGCATTGTATTAAGTAGTTAACAAGGAACTAATCATTGCCCAGTACGTGCCTGACCATTATCTAATGATGTTTTGTTGGCCTACACTAAAGTAAAACATTATACCAAGTACTTTCTGAGTAATTATTCACTACTTAAATACCACCTTACCATTAACCAATGTTTTTCGAACCCTTAGGTAAAGTGAAACTACTACCGGTACCCATTTGTTTCAGCTTAGTTACTCTATGTTTCCCAGGTAACTCAGCAGTAGTAATCAAGCTGGGCTGGGTTTGCCCCAGTAAAGTATTGATTACTGTTTAGCAGAGATGGCAAAAGTACAGTACTCACTTTCCGTACTTGAGTAAAAGTACAGATTCTTGTGTTAAAAAATACTCTGGTAAAAGTGGAAGTACTGATTAAACTTCTTTACTCAAGTAAAAGTAACAAAGTACAGGCTTGTAAATTTACTTAAAGTGTAAAAGTAGAAACCACTTTTTTCCTGCCGTTGCCTACATTTTAAATGGATGTCTGCCAATAGGACTAGATCTGCGTTGTGTTCATTTTCAATCATCTCATCGTCCATGCTACTATGCTAACGCCACCGCCACCAAGCTGCAATGATTTGTCGCGTATGAATACTGCCGAATCTGTCGATTCATCTTGTAGTGGTGCGTCAAATGCAACGTAGATTCCCATCCAATTAGATTGAATTTGGTATTGATGACGTGAAAAATAATAACGGTAACTCCATTGAAATGATTCAAAACTAAAGTAACGAGCCAATTTTTTAAAATGTAAGGAGTAGAAGTAAAAAGTCGCCATAAAAATAAGTAGTAAAGTAACGTAAAAATATCAGAAAAATCTACTTGAGTACAGTAACTAAGTATTTGTACTTCGTTACTTCCCATCTCTGCTGATTAGTTACATTGGCGCTCTCTAGTAGTTAATCAGATTTTGTGTACCTTATTGCAAAGTGCCAGATCAATGGATTTGCACCAATCATCCTCTAAACACATCTGCTGATCGGCTATTTGTGCTAAATTAACTGACTGATTATGATTTGGAAAGCAAGAAAACTGTCTATATAAGGTCTAATTTTTGACAGTAGATATTGTATTTAAGCCTCCAATACCAACTGTATTAAAGAATGAATTTGGGGACAAATAATAATAATAAAAGGTTAAGCAACATTGGACAGCTCCAAAAGCACTTCAGTTACTGTTATTATGGCAGAGTGGCTACATGGAAGTCATTCACCGCTTACTATGATGGCTGGAAATCAAATTAGAGATTCTCAGACGAAAGGAGAAAGAGAAAATGATTTGGCTCAATACAAACATTCACATGTCATGTTAGTAAAAAGAACTACTCATCGCCTAAATGACAACATCCCTACTGTGAAGCATGGTGGTAGCGGTATCATGCTGTGTTCCTGTTTTTCCACAGAGAGCTAGTATTTCTTAGCTAGCTAAATTGATTCGGAATTTATATAAACATTTATAGTTACAGTTACACTCAATAAAACTTCTTTTATTTAATCTCAAAAGCTAATTTAATATGAGACAAATCTGACTAGCTATTAAGATGTTTTATTAAAATTGGAAAACTATAGTTCTATTATAATTAACCTCTATTTATAATTTGAATTATTTTTTTCATAGATGGAGAAAATTTTTCCGGAACTCTCTACTTTAATTACTTTCATATAAATGTTTTGGGCTAATAAATACTGCCTGCATATGACAAAATGAACAATAAATAAAAACATTGCAGATTTCATGCTAGTCACAGAAGAAAGCAGGTATCTGTATGCACCATTTGTTTAGTGAAGAAAGAAACATGGAAACACAGAAATGGACATGAAAGTTGTGGTGCGTTTTTGTGCATTTGTTATCTAACTGTTAATTTTCCAGTCTGACTTAAAAGGGTTGTGGGCGGCTTTAATATTTCACTCAGACTGTCAAAAACTGCTAACGCTCGGTAAATTGGTTTGTGTCCATGGTAGACGTCGGCAAAAAAAAATCACAGGTTTGGGATCTACAGCAGAGTGCAAATACACTATTGATTATTTCTGATCCATGCGTAGTGCTTCTGTGTTTCTTATTCAGCTGATATAAAAACAGTTGTGGACTTTAATCGTCACGACCCCCCCTGGATGACTTGTCTTCTCATGCCTCACGTCCAGTATCAACTCCTCCAAAAGCCACCCACTGCTGAGCTGTGATGTGTGGCTCATTATTTATTTATTTATTTTTGGTTTGTTTATCCCTGGTATACAAGCTGTTACATTGGCAGGCAACAGCAAATGGTGCCGATGCATCAATCATGGCCCCGTCTGTGGGAACGGTGGAGAAATGACACACTGTCGGAGGGGGCTGCTCTCACACCATGGGGTGGAGTTAAAAAAACAAAAAAAAACATGTTTTGCCATGAAGTTTCATTTATGCAAGACAGACAAACAAAAACGTTTTTTCTTCTTCTTTTTTTTTTTTTTACCTTTTAAATTTTTCGGACATAATTATTAGACATGTTAATAATCTTCCCGTTTTGGTCTAAATTTAATTCAGTTTATTTATATAGCGCCAATTCACAACACATGTCATCTCAAGGCACTTTACAGTTCACCAGATCATACAGTCAGATTTATTCAAAGTCTTCTATCTAAGGAAAACCAGTTGATTGCATCGACTCATTGACTAAGCATGCTTGTAGCGACAGTGAAGAGAAAAAACTCCCTTGAAACAGGAGGAAACCTCCAGCAGAACCAGGCTCATAAATAGTGTGACACATATTCTTGTTTAAGCTTGACACTACATGAAACTCTTGCTAACATCTGCATCAAAGATTTCTTCTGGGTTTCAAATTATTCTTGACTACATTTGTGGATCTTTAGCACAATCTGCCATATCTAAACCAGAATTCCTCTTTTATTTATAAATACCACTGCAGCTACTTTTTCGTTTTTCAAATACATTCATATGGACAAAGGTTGCACAACCCCTCTCCTACAGTAAAAAGAATATACAAACCTCTAGTTATTATGTTGCTATACTCTTTTCTCAATTCCCTTTCCTCAGTTTAAATAATTAAAACAACAAAAAGTAGGCTTTACTTACAGGAGTACTAATTAACAATACAATTCCTTTTTCAACATCAATCTTTTCACTAAAATATTCTTTCTGTCACGATTTTTAGACATTCATTTTGTATCTCTGCTTCTGTCTCCTTTAACCCCAGTCGGGCTCAGCAGATGGCCGCTCACACTGAGCCTGGTTCTGCTGGAGGTTTCTTCCTGTTTAGGGAGTTTTTCCTCTCCACTGTCGCTACAAGCATGCTTAGTGTGAGGGATTTCATTCGAGTCAATGAGTCGATGCAATCAACTGGTTTTCCTTAGATAGAAAACTTTGAATCAATTTGACTGGATGATCTGTTGAACT